CAGGGGACACCGCTCGGGCACGGCAGTTGTGGTTAGGTAGGGGTCGTGCCATGAGCAGGATCCAGCGGCCCTGGAGGAAGCCGCGTTGCCCAGCACGCTCATGGAGGTGGGGGGGTAATACCACAGCCGTTTTCCGTGGCCTCTTAGGCTTCGCGTTGCGCTGCTCCGTGGTTTGTGTCACCCATGCTGTGCAAGCGGGCACCTTCCCTCCAAGCATCCCTTCTGCAAAGCTGAGCCCCTCTCCACAGGGTCTTCATCGCACCTCTTGTCCCTCCCTCAGCCACTGCCAGGGAGAAAGCGCCTTTCTGAGCACAGTCAAGCCTGCTCACAAATGTTGAAGGTTTTGCAAGAGATCTCCTAATACCGCTCCTCCCTCTCAGCCGGGTATAAACCTTCTCTGATGCATGCTCACAATGCCACAGGTCTTTCAGAGGCTGAACTAAACCTAAAGCAGAAGCAAGGGCCACCTTTTAAAATGCCTGAGGGATAATTCATGGCCAGAAGAACTCACTGATGAAGGTAGATGACTCGCCACTCCTAGAAATTATTAAACTGAGACTAAGCATCTTTCTAAGATACTCCATAGTCCAGATAAAGCTCTGGGTTTGTGAGATGAGTTACTGGTTTGTGAGATGAGTTACTGGTAACACTGCTGGTCTCTAGTAGGAGATTGTTGTATTGGCTTCTCGTGGTACAACTGCCCATGGGCCTGTGAGAAGCACAGCATGGCTAAGCAGTCTTATTTAGGAGGAACTTGGTCTCAGGAACATGTTCCCCATCAAGTTTCTTTGTTGTCCTGTTTTCCTTTGGTCTATTTCTGCCTTGTCTTGTGTATCTTCAGACAAGTGCCTCTCTGAGCATGCCATCTTTTCTCAAACTGAGAACCAGCAAAACTTCCCCTCCTGCTTTTGAGCCCTCCTGCTACCTGAGTGGCTGGCATGCAGCTGGCTCTGAGGGCAGCAAGGCTTCACCTACATGATGGAGCAACCAAGGAGCTGCCGCCACCACCATCTCCGCCAAAGCACTGGAGTGCTGAACAGTATTTTGCGCCTCGGATGTGGAGGAGGAGCAGAGCATCTTCTTTCCAGTGTTTGGTGCAACTCTAACAGCTTCTGAAAAGACCCTCTCAAGCTCTTTAATGCTCAGAGACCTCCTCGGTTTTTAATGCTCCCTTTTATCCTCATTAGAAATCTGGGGCAGGAGCTAATCATTTTATCCCAAGTTAGGGGATGGCCTGCCTCCTGGCTTCCATCCCAGCCTGTGTCCATTTTGTTCCTGGGCAACAGCCAGTAGCTTATTTGATATATTGTTTCCCTAATTCCTGGCCTCACGCCCCATCCTAAATCAATGTCAGAAATGCTTCTTCCCTGTTTCCATTTCCCCCCTTACCCATGCACACTATTCCTCCAGCCCGCACATTTCAATGGTTGCCCCCAAACTGTGCTACAAGCAGAGATAGTTTTAGAGAGACAAAAAGTCACAAAACAAATGTTTTCTCAGTTGCAGAATTATCACAGGTGCCTAAGCTGTATGTTGAGTGCAGGAATAATTTTTTAACACCACGTTGGCAACCACTGCAAGCAATTGCGTGGTTATGGCCTAAGGGGTAACGGAGTGAAGCGGGTGTGTGTTTCTCGCGGGCACTGGTCAGGGCTCATAGCTGTGCTCCTCTCTTCCTGGTAGCCCAATCCTAAAACGAAGCCCGGACATTACCAAATCTCCGCTGACAAAGTCAGAGCAGCTGCTGCGAATAGATGACCATGACTTCAGCATGAGACCAGGTTTTGGAGGTACGAAGCGTGCACGTTTGTCACTGTTCCTGTTTTACACTGTCACTTCTTTATACTGTAACATGCATTCAAGTGAACAAGCAGATTGACACAGAGCCTTTTCTGTCTCTCATTTTGTTATTTTGTATTGTGAATTCATTACATGCTCAGGGGGATAGGGGTGCAGGGAAGTAGCCTTCCTTGGATGAGCAAATAGCATACTCAAAGGCATGGAAATGTAATTACAGGTAATACAATATTCCTGGTATTCGGTGACGCTTTCTTCTGATAAACATCTGCAAATACACCTTATGTTTATTCCTGGATAATGGGGAAATTCTAAGATTTCATCTTACTATGGTGATGTGTGTGCATAATCAAATCTCATACCACACTTACTGATCTGGCCATTTCATTTATAACCCAAAATAAAATATTTTGACTGTTGTGTTTTAATGCTTGCTCACAGTTTTGTGGCTGTGTGCTAGGGCTACCTAAGCTTTCAGGGAAATGGATGAAGGAGAACACGTTTTCTTTCAGCCCATCGGATTAGAGAATGTTGTAATTTATCTACCCTTTCTGGCTGACAGATGGTCATTCAAATCCAGGATACCATTATATACTCTGATGGAAGAAGATTTTATTGCTAAATGCTCAATATACCAAATACCAGCATGTTCAATTAATTTAAAAAGGTTTCAGTTTCATAGCAGTCTGCTAATGTGAGCACTATTTATGTTGATAGATCTCTTGTACTGTAATTGCCAGAGGTATGTGAGGGGCTAGTCAAAGTCTGGAGGAGAAAAAAAGATTGAAATTCCTATCACCTGAGGTCACAGCTGAACCCTTCCCCTTCGGAGCCCCACACTAGGTGGCACATGCCTGTGTCCTGTAACGCATCCCCTTCTGTCACCCTGCCTTTTCCACAGCCAAGCACTGAGTGATGTGAAAGCCAAGTACATGGAGTAGCTCTCAGGGATGTTTTTGGCCGGAGAGGAGAGCGGAAGCAGTGCGGGAAAAATTTGGAGTAGCCCTCCCACGTTGCCTTATCCGTGCACTGTTCCTCTTCATGTGAATGGATGCTCTACTGGGCATCTGTCTGGTGAGCCCTCGACTCAAGTGCTAGAGACAGGGCTTTTAAATTTGGGAGGGGTGTGAGCAGGATGGCATAATTAAAAGAGAAAGTCAGTAATAGGTCAGTCTCATTGCTGATTTTGCTTATTATTAGGAGGTTTTGCTATGAATTCAAATCATTTCTATTTTCAATTGGTTTACTGTTGTTTCTATTTCAGACTGAACATGTATTTTTCTCTCTAAGATGTGAAAGCCAGAGGATTACTTTGTCTCACCAAATTTATACTTTCTCAACTTTCAATTTTCTTCCCTCAGGCCCTGCAATTCCTGTTGGGGTGGATGTCCAAGTTGAAAGTCTGGACAGCATTTCTGAGGTGGACATGGTAAGAGTCACAGAAGGACTAGGGTCAGATGGGACTATCTAGCCCAAGTCCCCACTGAGAGCAGGACTGGCTAGAGGAGGCTGTGTGGGGTTTGTGCCTGTGGGGTTTGAATACCTCCACTCCACAGCCTCTGAGAGGCAGATTCAAGTTAGACCTGAATCTGCCGACGATTACTTCTATTGACCTCATGCTGCCATTTCATCTCCCTTGAAGCAGAAGGTAGAAATCTGACATTTTCTTTTCTCTAGGACAAACTGATACAACACTGCTAAGACTGTCCCAAAGGATATGGGTTTTTACATTTTCTTAAAAAGCGATAACATGTTTAAAAGCTCTGAGGAGACCAATTAATGTGTTAGTTTTAAGGCACTTTGATATACTACAGACAGCCTCACTTTGGCCATGTTCTAAGGTGGTCAGGGGCCAGCTAGGTCTCAGTCAGAAGCCCTGTAGCCATCCTGAGAGCAACACTGGTTCAGACTGGTAAGTCCTGGTCTCAATAGGGCAGCCAGAACAAGCTCGGAGCAGAGAGGTTTCTCCTGAGCCTGCCTTTAATGCATTAGCAGTCATATCACCCTGTATTTTCGCCCTGATGCTGAAGAAGGATTTCAGGGGCACGCAGGACTGATGCTGGTTCTCTGCACAGGCTGAATTCCTTACTGAGTCTCTGTCCTTTGTTTTCAGCCACACAATTAGTAATGTGAAAATAGTCAGTTTTTGAACGTTCTCGAAGTGACTCAGATTTTGGCCTTGATGATTTTTGCTGGAGGGGCTTATTTCATCACAAAGCACTGCTGAAAGTAAGGTGTGATTTCTGCAGGAGATTTTCCATGGGAAGATTTTACATGCATACGTAACTTGTAAACAACAGCCTGTACAGGAGAGCAGGAGCACAGAGGGGAACGGGAGATGGCCCTGCATGTACATTGCAAGATCTGCATCAATTTTATTCACTGTTTCAAAACACAGAGCTTGTCAGACTTCCCTGTTAGAGCATCCCTAGAGTCTCTCAGCTGCTCAGCTTTTGCTTTGGAAGAGAGAAAAAAAAACACACCCCAATACAGAACACAAGGGCAACAAGAACATAAGGGCAACAAGAAAAACTTCTATAGATATGTCAGCGATAAAAAGAAATCTAGGGAAAATGTAGGCCCTCTCTGGAAGGAAACGGGACACCTGGCTACCCAGGATATGGAGAAGGCTGAGGTTCTCAATGACTTCTTTGCCTCAGTCTTCACTGGCAAGAGCTCCAGCGGCACAGCCCAAGTCACAGAAGGCAAAGACAGGGACTGTGAGAATGAAGAACTGCCCACTGTAGGACAAGATCAGGTCCGAGACCATCTTAAGAACCTGAAGGTGGACAAGTCCATGGTACCAGACGAGGTGCATCCGCGGGTCCTGAGGGAACTGGCAGATGAAGTTGCTAAGCCACTATCCATCATATTTCAGAAGTTGTGGCAATCTGGTGAAGTTCCCAGTGACTGGAAAAGGGGAAACACAGCCCCCATCTTTAAAAAGGGGAAAAAAGAAGACCCAGGGAACTACAGGCCAGTCAGTCTCACCTCTGTGCCCGGCAAGATACAGGAGCAGATCCTCCTGGCGACTATGCTAAGGCACGTTGAAAATAAGGAGGTGATTGGTGACAGCCAACATGGCTTCACTAAGGGCAAATCCTGCCTGACTAATTTGGTGGCCTTCTATGATGAGGTTACAGCATTGATGGATGGGGGTAGAGCAACTGACATCATCTACCTGGACTTATCCAAAGCATTTGATACTGTCCCACACCACATCCTTGTCTCTAAACTGGAAAGACATGGTTTTGATGGATGGACCACTTGGTGGATAAGGAATTGGCTGGATGGTC